TAATGGTAATAATAGTAATTGAACTATAATGTAATGAGAGTAGCTAGAAGGAATTAATCTAAAACAAGTTTGCATTTATAGAAACTTGTCTGCACTTCTGAAGAAGTCTGTTTCAAGTAGTTCTAGAGATGCCTGTACATCTTACTACTCCTACTTACAATATAAATAATTATAATTTTGAAGAATAGGAGAATGACAATTCTGCCGAAGGAAAAAAACCCTTGCTTTCTACTTCAAAAGCAGCAAAACTACAGCACCTCACTGTGTGAAATGCACTTAAATCTCTACCTTTGTGTTGACTTTAGGGACAAAAAGGTGAGGAAGTACGGGCCATGTTGGAAGATCTGATACTGAGCATTCCTGGGGTTAAAAAGCTTGCAAAATATTGGATCTGCTGTATGCGTCTTGAACAGATGGGCCATCTTGGAAAGCTTATTGCTGTCTATGAGGATGCCATTTTGGCAGGAGCAATGGTAAGAAACTTGTCTTAAAATTTGAGATTAACAATTAGAAAGGCATGAAAGTATGGCATGTAGAATACAACTGCTTCTGATTTTATTAAATACCTTTATAGTAGGAGGAGAGCCACATGACCTACCTGACCATAAAAATAATGGATTTGTTTTGCTCTGTAACCATTGTAGGTACTACTTTGAAGAAAGGCTTAGGATCATCAAATTACCCTATGATGTTCTGCCTAAAAGTAATAAAGGACTGAGATTTCTAGTACCACTAGAAACGCAAAATAGAACTTAATTTTACACTTACTGATGGACTTGATTTCCACACTTTAATATCAGCAAGATTTCAGGGCATCAAATACATCTTTAGCACACCAAATACTGGAAATACAGGATTCACTTGTGTTCTGGCTTAAGTCTGAACAGCATTAAATAAAGGATTTATAATATGAATATCATGTGGCCTGCTCCACTTTCCCTGTAACTGTTCTACGAATCAAATAAGCTGAGATGATAATTCATATTGGAATTGTTTTTCTAAAACAGTACAGCTTTTTTTCAGCCCAAAGAGGAATTGCGAGACACACTAATAGATACAATCAGAAATGCTGAAGGTCTTCTTAACTCTGTCAATGGTAAGTCTGAGTACTCTTTTCTAGTTATATGTCTGACTTGACAGGCAACACAAGTTGTTTAAGCTCTTTGTACTGATATTAAATTTTAATTCATGGAAAATTTTCCATGATCATTTTATACCCAATTGTCTTTGAAAACAGTCTTGGCTAACCAAATCCTTTTCAACAGTGGGCATGTCAAAATGATTGGAGATGCTCTTGTATTCAAACTTGTTAGTTAAACTTTATCAAAACTGTGTTGTCCAGCTGTTTTGGCCTGATAATCAAAGAGTAAATAAAACTACTCTTGTGGGCTAAAAATCAGTGCCTCTGACACAAACTCCTTCACTATTAGAAGCCTGGTAATGTTATAGCATAGTGTCAATTAAAGCCAGTAAGTATTCTAATTTTGGAAGTAAAGTAGCTATAAATATTTCTCTTCAATGTAACATAACCTGATAAGTATCTGACCCTAGAAACTGGCTGAAATACTTGAGAATTGCTGCATTTGAAAAAGAAGAGAATGACTTCTCAGGATGGGTACTTAGCATGAGCCTTTGGGTTGCACCTTCTTGAAGGTGGATAAAATTATCAGAAACTTAAATTGCTGTGGCTCCAACTCCAATGCATACTTTTATCATGTAAAGCGCTAAGATTTCAGGTATCTCTCCTAAAAACATTTTCTTTAGTTGTAACTAATTGCAAGTGTACTTTCTTCAATGTTTCATTTTTTTAGGGGGATCGGTGATAGAACCTCATTTAAGTGAGGTAGTGGAAGTCAGCAAGGAACCAAATTCGTCTGTAGAGCCAGTTCAGGAAACCTTCAAAGATCTCTGCCCTGATGATGACAAAAAAGAAGAGAGTGATAATAAGAAGGAAGAGACAAGCAGTGAAGTTACCAAAAGAGAAGAAATTGATTTAGACTTAAAACCAAGAGGAGAGACCTTGCCAAAAAAGACTAAAAAGCAGAAGGCTAAAGAACGGGCAAAAAAGAAGGGAAAATATGAAAGAGAACAGAACAAGGATGGGATAAAAAATACAGCCCAAGCAATTAATTCTCCTGAGAAGGAGAATAACACATCTTATTCAGTGGGATACAACCCTCCTACCACACCATATTTGGAAAGGTAAGGTTACTTCAGCTAAGCATGGAAAGACTGTAGTGTCTGAAATAACTGTTCATGTCTGTTAAAAAAGGGAGGCACTGCATTTATAAATACTTGGTTAAAGACTCTCAAGAACCACATTTTTAGGATTGCTTCCCATTCCTTCAGAAGGAAGTATTTTTAAGTAAGCTTCTCTATTTAGTTAAACTGTTTTGTTTTTTGAATGGCTCACTACAGAGTAACGAGACTTTGGAATTTAGGTCTCTGCCACAAGAGTTAGGATTCCCTCCCACTGCCAACATGGCAGCAGCAGTTCTGCTGTGAGCTATGTAAAGAGAGATGTCTCCATTCCTCTCCTTTTCAGATGTAGATAATGTGGTATGTCATGTAACACAGAATTAGCGAACAAGATGTAACTGGCATGTAAAGACTATTTTAATTGTATCTTGAGGCAAAAACCTGGATAGTAACCTCAGTACAAACCAACTAAACTTATGGCAAAAAAAATTTACTTCTAAGATGGTAGACTTAGGAAAGTTGTGCTCAGCTTTGACATCCGATGGAGTCCTGGCAGCTGTCTACTATCCCTCTTTCCTTGGGAACTCTTTTCAGGAGGTTTTCTGGGTTAAAATATTTTGCCCAAGAAAAGATTTGTACATCTGGTTTTAAATGAATGAATGGGAAGGGATCTGTTTCCTTTGGGTATGGGAATGGGAAAGAGTTGACTAGGAATCCTGACTTGCTGTTTCTGCTGGTTGCTGCAAAGGCAACTTGCATGATGGCATGCCTATGTTTAGTGCTTTTGGTTTTTATTTTTTTCTTCCTAAGTGTCAAGACACATCCTGAGGGTGACAGTGCTAAAGATCTGAACATTGTAACTCCTTTGCGATATTCTCAACGCATTCGGGAGAAGATGTGCAAGCTGCCTGATGCTGTTAAAGATCAAGATCCGTGTGTCTCTTCACTTGAGCAGCTGGGAGACTTGGAATCAAAAGCTACTGTGTTTATCCACAAACAGAGCCATGCCCTCCAAGAAACAAGTGGTGACATAGAAGAGTAAAAGTAGTGCTACTGCTACAGGGGGGTGTTAAGGATTTGATAGCTTTGAGGGAGAGTTGAAGGGTACTTTTTTTATGTAGCTTTGAGAAAGGAGCTATCTAAAACTTTTCTGGACTGCCTGAGTTACTAAAACTTTTAAGTTTCTGCCTTTTCAAAATTGTAATAAGTCTGTCCTGGCTTAAGTACTAGGCCAAGCACTGTCTTTATGTTGACTATGTTTCATTAAAGTCTCAATTAAGACCTAGGTGTAAAGCTTCATGTTAGTAGCTGATAGTAGTATATTGCTAACACCTACTGTTTTCTTGTTGCATGTTTCTAAGGAATTAATAGGAATTACAATCTTAGCTTAAAGAAAACAAAGTACTGTAGGTGTTCCAGTAATGCAATGTCTACTCTGACAAGATTTAGCTTTTAAAACTGAAGCCAGCTAATAAGGTGTGTGCTGAATTTAAACTGTTCTATATATTTTAAGGCTGTTTCCACAAGACAAGATTTTAATCTCTAGTTACAGAGCTTTGTCCATTATCAAGTACTTGTAGATGAGGTCTGATACACTACTTACGATATGACAGTTTTTATGTTGGTTTGTATTAGCCTGTACTATGCTATACTCATTAAACTCATCCATTTAGTTGTGTCTGTTCGTTATTTAAAGGTTAAAGCTCTGTTCTTGAAAGTGAGCTGTCAAAGCGGAACGCTACCGTGGGTCTCATGCGTCTGGGCCCGCGTAGCGAAGCACCGGTGCCAGGGCCTCCATGAGCCGTGGGGCGGGCGGGGCCAGCGTTCCCGCCGGCCGCCCTGGGAGCCAGCGCCGCCTCCCCGCCCCTCCTCCGCCCCAGCCAGGCACGGGCAGCGCGGAGCCATCGCCCCCTCCTCCCCGCCCGTTCTCCGCCCCAGCCCGGAGCCAGCACCGCCCCCTCCCCGCCCGTTCTCCGCCCCAGCCCGGAGCCAGCACCGCCCCCTCCCCGCCCGTCCTCCGCCCCAGGCAGGCGCGGGCAGCCCCGATCCAGGGCCGGTGCTCGGCCGCGGCCTTTCAGCTGCTCTCGGCTCGGCCCGGCCCGCTGAGGTGAGTCCCCAGTGGGGCCTGAGGGGCTCGGGGCGGGCTTGGGCTGCTCCGGAGGAGGCAAAGAGCTCATCACTCTCAAAGAACACCGTATTTGAATATCATCTTAAAAGCACCAAGGTCTTGGAAAAAGGATAACAACCCCTTGCTGGATGAGAAAACCTTCAGGAGATGTGTTTTTAGCAGGAAAGGGAATCGTGTGTGAGTTTCAGCCGCTGTGGGAGATCTCAGGAGGGCTGGGGCTAACCTCAGTGTGGGAGGAGAGGACACAACCTCACGCTGAGCCATGGGCCTTGCAGGTTGCACATCAGGAAGATTTTTTTCACAGAAGAGGTGGTTGGACATTGACATGGGCTGCCCAGGGAGCTGGTAGAGTCACCATCCCTGGCGGTGTTTAACTGGATGTGGCACTCAGTGCCATGGTCTGGTTGACTTGATGTTCGGTCATGGGCTGGACTTAATGATCTCAGAGGTGTTTTCCAACCTCGTTGATTCCATGATCCCGTGATAGAGTCTAAATGTGGTGATAGGACAACTGGGAACATTTCAAAAGTACACGAGGGAAGGCTTATACTAGACATTGCTGAGAGGGTTTTTGAACATTGGAACAGAATTCTTAGAGAGTTGGCCAATGCTTTAAACCTGTTGCTGTTCAAAAATATTGTCACGCCAATTTAACTTTTGGTCACCTCTGGAGTGGTCAGGCAGTTGCACCAGATGATCATTGTGGGTCCTTGCAACAAAAATATTATATTCTGTATCTTCCAGTTCTTGAAGTCTTTGCACAGTAACTTTTACCAGTTTGATCCTGCTTATGCTGTTTTAGGTAAGAATTGTCACTGGAAGCTTTAAACTTGTTGTTTCTATTATTATGCCTGTGAGTTGTCTTTAGTGTTATGAAACCACCTGCAGGAGTGCAAAGTAACAAAAGAAGATGCGAAGTTGTAAGTTTTAAGAGCTTTAGCATTGTACATTAAAAAATGCAGAAGTGTTTTAAGTTGTACTTTCTCGAGGCCTCATCTTTAATAAAGTCAAGGTAACAGTGCAGGGAGATGTGTTATGGTAATGCTGGACAGTTAGGTACCCACATTTATCACCTCTTGTTATTTTGTTTTTGGGTCTTTTCTCATGCAGATTGTATTAAGAGAAAAATTTTTAAAGTGTTAATGTCATGATAAAATTTAGAAGATAATCCTGTGAATGAAGAAAAGTGTTGGAACTGGATTTATAAAGAATGGAAGGATACAACGTGTTGAAAGTACTAGGAGAGGGGTCCTTTGGCAGAGCTCTCCTAGTTCATCACAGAATCAGTGACCAGAATTATGTAATGAAGGAAATAAGGCTTCCCTTGGTAAGTGTGACAGAAACATCACCTCTCCCATCATTTAAAAATTAAATTTAAAAATCCTAATTCTGAGTGTATCTTTGAAACACTGAACACTTTTGCTGAGAGTTTTGTGTATTAGACAGGTGTGTGGTATGGTTACTGTATAATTACATCTTGAGCTGATGTTGGTACTAAGTGAAGTGCATAGTTAGATTTTGGGATTTTGGGAAGTGTAGCAAGTATGAAGACGCTTAGAATGAAATCCCTGTTACCCCTGATGCCCTTGTCTCGATTGCCATTGATTTCACTAAAATACAAATTTCATCTTCAGTGTCTAATGAGGAAATTCATGTCATATTGCTGCTGGTAATCAGCTGTTTGGGTTACATTCTCTTCACTCAGCTAAGCTAAAAGTCATAAAATGGGAGGCACTGGCTTTCTGATGCCAAAGCTCAGCTAAGACCTAACACTTGGCTTTATATTGAGTTCATGCAGACTATCATCTGTTTCAAAATTAGTGTGTGCTGCTTTGTTATATAGTTCTGCAACTTTTAAAATAGAAAAAGTCATTAATTGAAATAGGAAAAGATTCTCTCAAATTAAAAAAAATCTAACACAACAAAATATCAAATGCCCAAAAAACCCAAAGAAGTCTTCAGCTAATAATAAAGCGTAGATTAAAAATATGGGGCTTTTAAAGTTTCTAAATGACTTAAAAGAACTGAAGAACAATTCTCAAAAATATTTTTCTTTGGAAACTGAAGCACTTCATGTGTATACGTGAAAATTTGTGAATTTTATTGTGAAATTTATTCTAAGTGTATTCTATTTTCAGTCTTCCTCTGGTGTAGAGAATTCTAGGAAGGAAGCTGTTCTTTTGGCTAAGATGAAACATCCAAATATCGTTGCCTTTAAAGAATCATTTGAAGGTAAGTATAAAAATTTAAATTCCTTCATTTGTTTGAAGTTGCATACTCTTTGAGGATTGAGATTACTTTCTTTTTTTGTTTATAGTCCGTGTTATAAACAAAATACATGTTTATTGTAGCGTAACACATAGCGTGTAGTTGGAGCTTTCTAGTAAAATGTATTACATATAGTAAAAAAAATCAATACATATCCTGCTAATGAAAATACGAATTATTCTTAAATTACCAAAACTTTAGCTGATGGACATCTGTATATAGTGATGGAATATTGTGACGATGGAGATCTAATGCAAAAGATTAAACACCAAGGAGGAAATTTGTTCCCTGAAGACATGGTAAGAAAAGACATTGTTTTGAATGAACCAAGGGGGCTGGGAATCCTTTTCCATGTAAACTGAAGCATGCTGCATAAACCAAATTAGAGATATGCAAATATCTTATGCAAACAAAGTAACTTACAGGTAGAATTGGAGCATTACTTCTTTTATAGTTTCCAGCAGATCAAGACAAGAATTGGACTGAAAGGAATAAAAAAAGAAATTGCTACTTGTATCTGAAAATTGTTTAGGTAGTGTAAAATCAGTCAGGTCTGTATGCAATCAAGTAGGAATTTTACCAACCTTCCGGCAGAATTTAAAGCATAGTAAGAGTACTGCAAATGAAAAGTGAACAAACCACTCTGGTAAGATAAATTAAGCTAACAAGGATAATAAATGCCTGCTTTTTATGTAGCAATTAAATGTTTAAACCATTCAGTATGTGCGAACTCCTTTTACCAGAGAAACCAGAGAAAGTATAAGATTACTTAGGTTCAAAGGGATAGTGAATAGAAGCCACTTCTTGCTACGGTTAGGAGCATCACCTTTGTTTGAATGAAAGGACCAGAAACCTCAACTAATTGAGTGTTTAGATTTCCAATGCACCTTTAAGAGTTCTCTTTTGTGGTTAGAACGGGACACATGCCCTTTTGCAAACAGTATGTTACTTCCATGTGAATTTTGTTTTTGTTTGTTACTTGGTGGTTTGAGGTTTTTTTCTTTTTGCTAATTTACTGTGTAACTTTAGTTAACTTGTTTATAAAATGACCATCAGCTAAGGCACCAGGTAGTAATTCCCCAGCTTCATTATTGCTATGTATTATTAGAACTTTTTGGACACAGTAATAAACATTCTTTCTGCCATGTTAAAATATAATCTGTTTTGAAGAACTCAGTCATGCTGGTTGGACGCAGTTACGCCGGAGTTACTTTTAACTCCCAAATGTTCTGAATGCTTTTGTTTTCCTAATTTTTTTTAAAATCTATCAGTAAAGTATTCATTATGTTGAGCACTGAGCACTGTTATTTTGGCTGCTCTTTTTCAGATCCTTCATTGGTTTGTGCAGATGTGCCTGGCTGTGAAGCACATCCACGATAAACGTGTGCTGCACAGGGATATAAAATCCAAGGTGAACAGAGCAAGTTTTGTTGCCATTAACAAAACTGTCCTGCATGCAAAAGTTAAACCTCCTCTTTCATAATTTCCCGTGACTGCTAAGTTCTCTGGTTTTTATTTAGGCCTAAGAATATTATGTAAATGAAATAGTTGAGTGCATGGAATGATGTAATACTGTGGGTGTAAACATCATCTAAGTTTAGCTATATCCTTCATATCCACACTGCTGATAGCACCAATTGCTTGTGACATGGCATATAACATAAAAGAATTACAGAACTGTTAAGAAGTGTATGGATTATGCAGTTTGCAATTATCTTGCCTCACAATTTTTTTTAAAATCTACCCTGTCAGAAGGAGGGAAATTCAGAAGAAAGTAGTCCCTTGGTTTGAGTATAGTATGGAGATTAAGGCAATTCTAAGTCCTGAATCTTCCTCTGCTACTGATGCTGGGGCCTTAGGCCCATAAAGCCTTTCTGTTTTGGTAGAAACACTAGGAGAAGCAGGTAAAAGGAAATACAAAGACAAAATATGATAAGTGATTATTGCTGTGTTTTCTGTACATCCAAACTGCAAATGACTCGTAGAAGAATATTTAAGTATGTTAATCTTTGCTCTTGAAATGCAGAATGTCTTCCTCACTCAAAATGGAAAAGTCAAATTGGGAGATTTTGGATCTGCACGCCTTCTTGCACAGTATGTGACATTCCAACTGATCTCAGTGGTGTCAAGTTTTATTTTACCATTGACAAACAGTACAGAGTTCATAAATCATTAGTTTCCACCTGGCATTTCTTCTTTGTCGTTTCATTAGTCCAATGTCCTACGCTTGCACCTATGTGGGAACTCCTTATTATGTACCTCCAGAAATATGGGAAAGCCTGCCATACAACAACAAAAGGTACTTTTCAAAAGGTGTTTTCAGTGATCACAAATAATGCCTGACCAATGGATGGGTTTTTTTATTGCTGTCTGAATCTGGTTTTGTGGCTTATCCATGTTTGTTTCAGAGAAGATACTGAGCTGAAGAATATTTACAAAGAGATAATTACGTCTTTTTAAAAGATGATTATGTAATCTTAAAAATACAAATAAATTCCTCTCTACTTAGGTAGCTGAGAGCAGAGTATCTTTAGTTTCTAGAAGTCTGAAAAACAGTGTGCAGATCCCTGTTTTGGAGGGTAAATACATACATACTTGTGTGTATGTTTGTACTGTATATATATGCACAAACATAGGTATGTGTTTGCATCGTTTTGCTAGTCTTATTTTTTGTGGGATTGTTGTTTGGATGATGGTTGATGGGTGATTTTTTTAACCTCTTCATGCCAGTCTTGATAATGTAGGGATAATGGCACAGAATGGATTAATTAGGCTTACAGAGCCCAGTTATTTTGGTCCTTATGCAAGAGCTGTGATTGATTTTCCTGGGGAGGTAAGAAACCTTCTACAGTTCAAATTGTTTCCTGTTCTTCTTGCAAGAAAGGCTTCAGTTGCTTCTTGTGCAAATGGCAGTACTCACTTTTGGTGGAAAATGATGGGGCTTTTTTCTCAATAGGAAAATTATTTTTGTCAGGGATAGAATTCCAGCTCTCAGAATTAGGATTGTGTGGCTGCCATTTGATGTTGAGGGCCATGGAATGCAAAGGCTTTCAAGTGCAAGAGGATAAATGTTGTTGGAGCAAATTACTTAGGAGACATCCTGGGAATAAAAAGCCAACTATAACTGTATGACAGCTGTCTTCTCTTACATCAGGGTAGGATAAAATAAGCAAGAACATTTCCACAGGAGAGGTTAAATGCATAATTATATTGTCTTTTATGGCTACTTATTTTTAGCTTATTCAGATCAGTTATGTACACAAATCTTTACACTTTTAAGCAAGATATTAAATAGTAATTTCTGGCTTTAAATTTTTCATCTCTCTCTATATCTACAGTGATATATGGTCTCTTGGGTGTATTCTGTATGAGCTGTGCACTCTCAAACACCCGGTAAGTACAGCTCTATTGCTATTAGAAAAGTTTTGGAATTCCTTGAAACTTAATTAGCAATTAGATGTACAATAGAGTTGACCGAAGTGCTTGCTGCTGCTTCCAAAAGAGGGAAGTATTGCTCCACCCTTCCTATGCTTCCTCCACTATGTGCTTCTGTTTCAGCAGTTCTTGGGACCTTCTGTAGAAGACTTAATTTTCAAATTTGTTAGAAAACAATTGGGGTTTTTTTGATTGGGTAATTTTCCTCAATATCAGTGAGGTGATCTGGGCGTAGAGTCCAGCAGCTGCTAGGCTGGTTCCAGATATCTGCAGTTGCAAGATCATTGCATTTTACAGGGTCAGGGTAATCCCCAGGACATGGTGACGAAGATACTCAAAATCTTTGCTAATGAAAATATATTGTGTGCGATTACAGCAAAATGTACTAAGCAATAAGCATTTGCTTATTCTTCAAATCAAACAAGTCACTGTCCAAGCACCACTCTCCTGTTGGAACAGTGGAGACCTTGATGAATGATTCTGTCTTTCTGTCATTTCTGAGACACTCTCTTTTACAGTGTTGTTGCTATGTTTCTTATGTGTTAACTTCCTCTGGCTTCTATATACAGACATATAGGTAAGATGAGAGCCCTTATCAGGATATGTTTGTTTTGCAGGAAAATGAGATCCTAATTGAGGGTCATTTTATCTTAGTTTTTTATAAGCAGCAGTTTCCTTTCAGTGAGCTAATACTGTATCTTAGAATCACAGAACCATAGAATATTCTGAGTTGGAAAGGGCCCACAAAGATCATCAAAGTACCAGCTCCTGACTCTGTGAAGGACAGGCCTCTCAGACACATGTGCCTGAGGGCATTGTTCAAATTCTGTGTATCAGCAAAAGATTCTCAACAGCTGCAAGCTGTGCAAGAGTGTGGCAGTTCATACTGATGTGACTGAGTCATAACAGACCCTGTGCATAGATGTGTGTTAGCCTAAGTAGGTCTGTGGCAGGTCTTTGGCAGTGTCATGGTATTGAGGCAGAGCTCAGAGCTGGGATTCCAATGAGTATTCTTCCCTTATTAGCAGTGTTGAAAAGTTATGTGTCTGGTTTGATGTGATGGTCACATAGGTTCTTGCATAATCTATCAGAGGTGATATGAAAAGGTGACACTCCTTGGATGCTTGGCACCCTGCAGCCACGCCAGCAGGGCATAATCCAAGGAAACTTCCTGCATGGGAGCTAGAAGTTCTCAGACATTAGATTTGCAAGAGGATGTTTGTGCTTTAACAGGCTACTTTTGATGTTTGGTTTTTTTTAATCAAAGTCTCCATATTTCCAAGCTTACTGTTTCACTCTTGCAGTTCGAGTCTGATCTCAAGTATATGAATTGATGAATTTGATGCCTATAAAAATAAAGTTTGAACAATCTTAAATTTATAGCAGTAGTTCCTATCTGCTTTTCAGTTGTAGAAGTTCTCTTAAAGTATGTCAGCTACTTTTTACCTTATGCTTAAACTCTGTGCTCTAATATTAATTTATTTCTAATGCAGTTTCAAGCCAAGAGCTGGAAACATCTCATCCTTAAGATATGCAAAGGGTCCTATGATCCACTTCCATCTCACTATTCCTATGAACTTCATTACTTAATAAAACAGATGTTTAAGAGAAATCCCCAGAATCGGCCATCAGCCAGTACTATTCTTGCAAGAGGTCGCCTAACCAAACTTGTGAAAAATTGTTTGCCTTCTGAGGTATGGTATATTCTTTGTCCCTAGATTTAAGCAATTCTAACTGCATTTTAGATACCTTTCATTTGTAGTTTGTTAGTGTGTGGTTAACTATAAAATGTAATGTTGTGTAGGTCCTACTCTAATATCCATACAGTTGTAGACTTACCAGAAAGCTTGAGTTTTTAAAAGTGTCTCTTTTGAAAATTAAAGTTGGATATTGACCTGATGCTGATAAAATTAGGTATTGTTAGCTGGAATGTTGCACTTGTATAGTGAGTCTGTTTTCAACAAATAGTATATGTAATAATTCGTAGAAGTTTAAAATTATATTGTATTTCCATCTCTTCATACACATTTCAGATGGCAAATGAGTTTGAGCAGGTATTAAAGGAAACCAAGAAACATGAAGGCAATGCAGCAAGACAAAAGGGTAAGTCAATAACATTTTTGTTGATGTAAAGAATGACAAAATGCTTAGGAAATATAAGATCTTAAGTACAGCTTTGAAACATTAATATTATAAGTCCAAATCTACTTTAAATTACTTCAAAATCCAGTATTATTGAACTTACATGGAAAAATGCTTGAAGGGTGTAAATTATATTCCAACATAAGTAGAGTGCAAAGCTGCCATATATATATTGTAAATCTTAAGACTTGTGTTAGAAATAAACTTTTCAGTTCTAGAATCAGCAAAACTTGTAACAGTGGCATGTATTTTAAATATGACAGTTCCTTCTTTCCCAGAATATGGTGAAGCAAGTTATGTTCATTATTTAATTTTCAGAGAGAGAATGTTGGACTTTTTTCTTCTGCTTAAATTTAGCTACACCACAATTAGTGTACATTTGGAACAGAATAGTTGCAGGACTCTGTTGAGAATGAGTTCTGTTGTAAGAAGTTTGAAGAAGCTGTCACAGAATTGTCATTGGTTGGTTCAGTGACATTGCTGTCATGCCTCTGGAATGCCACTTTACTACAAATGTTTGCTAAAGGTATTAACTCTTGAATCTGTTTCTTAATGTATCAGGTAGTGTCATGGCTGGTGGAAGCTCAAACAATAAGACAGAAAATAGAGTAAGTATTCAGATATACATATAACATTTATATTCTAGTAATTTAGAATATTCTGTGTTAAGAGAAAAGTTTTTACAGGAAATTATTCCTATGCTAAACCATAAATCAGCCTATGAGTGTTAAAATTGCAGTTTTCATGTGCATTTCCCAGCACTCTTTTTGATTCTTCCCATGTTTAGTTTAGTTCCAAAGTGGGTTTTCTTATAACCCCGTCAAAACAAAACCCAAATAAAAAACTTTTCTTGTCTTCCTATTTTTTTTGACACTGCAAAAGATTATCCATTTTCTTTGCTTTTGGGACACATTTAGAACTGGCTGCTGTGGAAACAGTCTAGTTCTCACCAGATTTTAGGGCTCATATGAGATTTCAGGAGAGGAGAATTAAGTCACACATGGCCAAGGTGTCCCCTATGGATACATTACCATAGCCTGACTCAGCCATATTCTGTATATTTTTAAAAAGCATGTTGCCCTTGTTTGTTTGGTTTTTTTTCTCTTCATAGACCTGTAAATCTGAGAAGTTTAATATTTGGGTGCATTTTGTTTTCTCTGGGAATGTAAATAATTTATATTGCTTGTGTTCTTAAATGTAACAAAACCACAAACAAAAAATTACATCAAATAACTACATATGTGCTTAGCTTCAGAAACTGAGGTTATCTGTCATGGGCATACAGTGTGAAATACAGTGCAATAATAGGTAGTGTGCAATTGCAGTAGGCTTCACAATGTTAGTAGTTTAATTTTCAAATCTTCCAATCTTTAGGCCAAGTATTTTATAGCAAAACTGAATTAATTAATGCCATGTAAATAGGACTGGTTTGTCTTTCTTGCCAACAAGGATAATAATTAATACAGTCTTTACTCTTTTAAAGAGAAGGAAAGAGGAAAGTAGCAAGCATAGCCCCTTAGAAAGGAAAAATGCTGAGGGTTTGAGTGAAGGCACAAGGGAACAAAGGAAATCTTATCAAGAAGGTAAGTTTTACAGTTTTAAGGCTGATGCATTTCCTTCTGTGTACTGGTATCTACATGTCACTGATAAAGCCTTTTAAATAGGTGGCTCAAACTAGTCTCAGGTAAATTAAGACAAGAAAACTGCCACCATCAGTTACTTTTGTAAGTACATTGATTCGTACTGCTTATCTGAGGTTTAAAAAAAATTCTCTTGACAAGTAATAAAAAATGACTGTTTGAAAAGAGTTGAAGTAGAGTAAATGTATGGGGAACACTTTCCAGTTCAGACTTGCACCCATAGAATCAAACATCAGTGCTAGTTAAGTGATTTTTAGTACTATTTTGCCTGGACAGGGCAGTCTGGACATGGAATCGAGCTAGATACTGGTTATCACGGGGTTTTTTGTTACAATTACAATATCAACTTCTGCTGTCCTCCCAGGAAGTACTGATCTGTCACACACCCACAGGAGGCAATGGGAAAAGAGGATATCCAATACTGTGCTGGATGTCCTGGAAAATGCGTCTTTGCTTTCTTCCAGTTTTACACCTGAAGATTCTGAAAGTAAGATTTAATTAAATGTTCTTTTAATTCAAGTAATGTCAGTGATTCTTAACAGATTTCAAAAGCCAAAACTTTATACGGCACGTTTAAAATTACATTAAAATAATTTAAAAGTATTCCATTAATGAACACTCAGAAAGTTCATTGTGCTGAAGAGAATTTCTTAATGCTTTTGTGTGACAGGAGGATTGCAAAGCTTGATGAAACTGACAGATAACATTAGCAACCCTAAAATTACAATCATTGCTAAGAAATCATTCTACAATCTTCCTTTTATACACCATTTGTGGAGGTAGCAGTGAGGATCATTTGGTACAGAATGCAACCACCTGTCTTTCAAGTACAGCATACTATTGGGAGCATAAAACATCTACACCTCTACTTTAGTTGTGATTTAACACAGGTGCAGGTTAAGGCCAGTGACAAGAACTATAAATGATGTACCTCAGTTGTAAGACAGAGACTTCTTTCTTTTGATTAAAACACTTATCATCTGAGAAAGGTTTCAATTTTAAAATGCCCCACACTGATGAAATTGTTATAATTATTTAATATGGTTCTGGATATGTGATCTAAGTGAATGGGAATAAATGCTGTGGAAATAAATAATCAAGTTATGAGTAGTCAGAAAATTCCCAAGCTGTGGTAGGAATGTTATTTGATAGTTATGCACAGGGCAAGGGAAGTGGACAGAGGAATGCATGTTTTTAGGTGCTATTAAAAGGCACAGAAACAACCTCAGACTTCATTTTGTGAGACTTGCAGAGCCACCACATAAGTTTGCAGAGAGTTTGCCTCCTCACACCCCTCAGTTCCTGCGGGTCCCTGACCACAAGGAGGTTCCACTGTTCCTTCAGGTTGTTGAGAGGACAGTGTTACAACAGATAGAATTATCTAGACTTTTTTCTTCCTGTTTCTCATTTCTCTCTTGAATGTGACCTTGAATGTAATCCATACTGCTAATACAATTTGTTTAAATAGCATTTATGAATGATTTTATACCCAGGTGGTGGTGTTATAAACTACAGTGAAAATAAGCCACGGAAGCAGTGGAACAAGGACCCCTCTCAGACCCTGATGGACATGCTCAGCAATGCAGATGTCAGCTTAGCATTTAAAACATACACAATTTTTAAAACAGGTAAATCCCCATTTTCTGGGCAAACACTTTTGCAAACAGGTTTATTAATAAAGGCTTTTTTTTTTTTTCGTACATAGCTCCTGTGTCTACAGATCATGCATCTGTGTTCATATCACAACAGGCTAGGTTTTGGGGTATTTTAAGTTTACCAAATGAAATGTGGACTTAAAAAAAGCCAAATCTGGAATTCATGAGTGTTTGTACTTCACTACAGCTCTTCATGATGGACTTTCACTTGCAGCTCAAGAGCTGAATGAGGTTGTGACAAAACACAGACACCTACTGTATCCTCCCTCCCACTGAGCTGTGTGGTGTGTATGTTAGGGAGGTGCAGGAAATGCACTGTAGCCCCATCAGGTCAGGAAGTGGTGCCCTGGTTTGAGGGCACGATGGTCAGATGGCACTGCTGAAGACAGCTGCAGTCTGCAGATGTTCACAGTCACAAATACTTGTTCTGCACTTCAGTTGCTTTACTAGTTTTTGTTCTCACCTAGAGTAGGTAACAGCTTATCTCGGAATCTGCTACAAACTGGGGATGAATTAGAAAGACTATTTTGTATTTATATTCTTAATGTTTTTTCTTTAAAAATTAAAATATTTTGATGACATTTTAATTTTTATACTTTCAAAGCTTCTGAAAACATATTAAGAGGACCACTTTCTGATGAAAGTGAAGCATCTGATGAAGTAGATGGTGAACATGAAGCTGTTGTCATAGATTCTGAGAGACTTGAACCTAGATCTGATGAAGATGACACGTATGTCCAAATTATGTCCTTACATTTATGTTTTCCTTGTTTCCTCAGATTTTTCCATAACAACATTCCCCTGGAAAAAAAAAATAGTATTTTTCTCAGCATCTAAATCCATCCCTCTCTTACATAATGAAATTGAAATTTAGTAGCATTTAATATCTTACAATATATGAACAAAAATGCTGTGATTTTTGGACGTGTGTATGTTTTGGGCATGGTTCTTAGATTCTCAGAATCTCAGTTTGTGTCACTGTTTATTTTTGTGGCACCTAGAGATGGCTATATAGGCCTGTACTGCTGCAGTTCAGCTGCAGGCTGTCAATTATCAACACATTTGCAGTCTCTTAATATATTAATTTGTCTTTGCTTTTGATGAAACTTATTTTTGTAAATTCCATAGAGAACATCTATTGGTTCTTTAATCACAGTGGGTAGGAAGTAAGTCTCTTGTGCTGATATTTTTAACATAATTTATCCTAATTAAAGAGTAATTTCTTATGGGGAAAAAAGCAATTGATTTATAAAGACGTATTTTGCTCTTCAAAATAACATTTTCTGAAATCTATTTTTAGGGACTTTGATGAAGATGACCCAGACTGGGTGTCAGAACTGAAAATGGTATTGAAAACAGAGTGACTGAAAACCTGAATTTACCTGCAATGAGTGAAATTAAGTGTGCTGGTATCCAAGTTGTTGTGAATAATTGGTTATTCATTAAATAATTTCAGTCAAAAAATCTGAGTGGGCATGTTTTCTGTATCAAAAACTGAAGATGGAAAATGCACAATAAACTTTTTTAGAAAGAACACTTGCAGATAGCTGAACAAGTCGATGTATTAGGTGTATTTGAAGTCGGTAATACCTTTGCAGAAATGTTCAGTCAAGTTATAGCATTGTTCAAATTGTCCTCTTGTCATATCTCAAGGAGATGGTGTAGCACTCTGAAAAGGTGTAAAAGTGTTTTTCCTGAGTATGTAATGAAATGCAGCATTGTGCTGGGTTGATGCTGGGTGGATATCAGGTGCCAGCAAAGCCTCTGTCACTCCCCTCCTCAGCTGGGCAAGGGAGAGAAGTTTAATGAAAGGCTCAAGGGTCGAGATAAACACAGGGAGAGATCGCTCACCAATTACTGTTACAGGCAAAACAGACTTGACTTGAGGAAATTGATTTATTATCAACTAAATCAGAGTAATGAAACATAAACCCAAATCTTAGAACGCTTTTCTCCCACCCTCCTTTCTTCCTGGAGTCAATTTCACTTCCCTGGTTAAGGCCGAGCCCATCAGCGATGGTGGTAGTGTCTCTGGGACAACAAATCAGAGAAGGGGGGAGAGGGACGGGGGACACAAGTGGGTGGGTCTGCCTTGGAGGTGAATTGGCTCTGTCAAACGTGTGGAAAGGTTCTGGCAGATCCACCTCTGTAGCTTCTCTGCTACAGAAACCCTGCCACGCAAACCCAATACATACATACATACATACATACATAATTGATGTTCGAAGGACATATTATGGGAAACAATTTAGCTGTGATAAATAGTTGAGGCTTTAGTTCATGCAACTATTAATGCCCTGAAAATTCTTTGAGACTGAACTTTTGCCTTGATTCAATGAAAAGAGTTTTTTATATGCCACTGCATGTATGAAAGGAAGCAAATGTATTCATGAATAAGGACAAATTTTCCGACTTTGATCGGAGACACACTTCTGCTGCAGAGAATGCTATGGGCAATGTCAGGTTTGGGCTCTGTTCTGGTGACTGGGTAATAAATAGACACTTTACAAGAAAAATGCGGCAAGAGAGAGAACAAATACTCTTGGCAGAGTTCTCCTGGGGCAGCTGTCCCAGATTATGTCCCTGTAATAAATAATATTAGGAATAATACACAATGAAAGCTTTAGGAGATCTGTAGTTCTGGAGTGTAGCTACTTCATACCTCACCTCCCCTATTGTACATAGGCCAGTACATGAGTTTCCACCAAGAATTCAAGACCCTGAGGAAGCCGAGATTTCCTTTCGGGCCGCCCCACTCCTAGCACTGACCATCAAACCACAGGTCCGTGTCCGTGGGAGGGAGGGGCGGTTCGTGCCAAGGAACCAAGGCTGCTGCCGCTCCCGCAGGGCGCTGCAAACGCCACTCCTCCGGCGAGGCGCGGAGCGCGGAGCGGGGCCGGCTCCTCCCCGCGGCCGGGCGGGCTCCGGAGGCGGCTGAGCGCACGCAGGTACCAAGGCGCCCGGCTGCTGCCGGGGCTGGGCTGACTGAACCGAACCGGGCCGGGCCGAGCCGGTCCGTCGGGCAGGGAGGCCCCGGTGAGCGCTGTCCGGCGGCGCGGCGCGTCCTGTCACCATGGGGACGCAGGGCGGCCCTGCCCGGGCACACCGCGCGGTGTTCGTCCCGGCCGAGCAGCGCTCGGGCCCGCGGGACTCGGGGCGGGCCCCGCCGCCTTCCCCAGCGCTCTGTGGCCGATGGGTGAGGGGCTGAGCCCGGGCGGAGCGCACCCTGCGCGGGCATCTGCCCCGAGTGCCGCTTCGCCCCCGCGGCTGCCTGCAGGAATGGCTCTGACCCGCGCACGAAATCCCAAACGTGCCAGGGTCGCCCTGCTGGCACTGCCGTGGCCCTCGGAGGCCGCCGGCGATGGAGCGTGTTGCAGAGCTTGGCTGCCGGAGAACGTCTGGTGTCGGAGCTAATCTCCCTTGCTGAAACTCAGAACAACTAATAGGAGCAGTTTTGTGGTGTGTGCTCATATTTAGGTGCGCAGCTTTGCCTGTGCAACCACTGCAAGCACCCAGTGACTTCAGTGATCCTCACAGAGCTTTCCAGACTACCGCTGATCCCTGGCTTCGCTTGGCCGTGGTCTGCTGCGGCTTTTCATTTTGCTGCCCCTACATCACACTAGTATAAACTAAACCAATATAGAATGGATTATTTTGTTTTTATTAAAATTCCGCAGTATTGTTCCATTCACAAAAGAATGTCACATTTTACAAAATCATATCATGATACTACACAGTACTCTGTACTTTCTTCCCATGCATTAACTTTAGGGTGCACTGTGCTTTTCTTTATGAGACACTCATCAATTTGCTGCTTATTAAAAGTTAAGATCTGCAATAATTTGCATACTTCCAGGACATGCTATTTTTAGGAAGAATCAACTGCAGTAATGTTATAAAAAGTAATAAAAATTACAGTCTTAAAAGGTAATGTCTATTTCAGTAGCACCAACTCGTGTTAAAGCATTGACTGTGCAGTACTAATTTGGGGAATTTTTATTTTAGCCACTGTTCTAAGACGAATACATCATGGATAAATATGCAATCATTAAACAAATTGGAGAAGGATCTTTTGGCAAAATATTCTTGGCAAAAGGAAAAATGGATAATGAGCCGTGTGTTATCAAAGAGATCAATTTAACTAAGGTAAACCAACAAAATCTGAATTACCTTTACTGGACTGTGCTGCTTGCATTTAGCTCAGCATGAACTTCGGTTATATTTTATCTCCTTTGTAGTTTTATCTTAATTATATAGAGCTAAGCTTTCCAAAGACTGTATTCTTTGCTAATTTATTATTTTGAAAGCATAAATTAAATACATATTTTGATATTAAGTCTTTGCTTTTTACTGCATTTTTGTTCTTTTCAAAGCTTCTTTCTGCCTACAATGCGTGGCACTGCCTAATTCAAATTCTGTAATAGTTGGTTCAACTACAATGGAAATATTGCCACTGAAATCACAATTCTGTGGTAAATTTCTCTGAGCTTTTTAATTTCCTTGTTTCCCATATCCATATTTTCAGACATGAGTAATTCACAATGGAGTCTTTCCAATTCTCATTTATGTTAATGGCAGTTCCATTCATCTCAACTGATGTTAAGTTGCCATTTTGTTGCTGTCAGCATTTGAGCTGCTTGGCCAGAATCAAGAAGATCAAGAGAATTAAGTCTTTTTAGGAAGCTGTTGATCACATGTGTTTTAGATTTCTAATTTAGAAGGAGCTCAATTGGACCAAGAAACTCGTGTCTTCCTCCCCACTGACTGCAGAGGCAGTTTAGGGCTGCTTGCTCGGGTGTTGAGGGAATATCACAGCTCTATGTGGTTCTATAAAGGCAATGGAAATCTCTGCGATTTCAATGCAGGGGTTTTAACAGTCAGTTTCAATGAGTGCCTACATGCTTTTGACAGGTCTGTTGTTATTCTGGGCAACCCCAGTGAATTTCTAATACATTAGAAAATTACAGTAGAAGAATGAGTTCTAGAAAGAGCTGTATGTCTTCCAGATTCAAACCCAGAAAAGCTGACACATGAGTAATGACAGCTAAATGAAAAGATGGATAATTTCTCTCTCTGCTCGTGACCAATAAACCCCATGCATTTCTAATCTTAGATTTTGATGTACAACTAGAAGAATGGCTGCTAATGAAATATTACTGTGAATCCTACTTGTTCAAAAATCAGAAGCTGGAGATAGAAAGTTGCTACTTTGAAGTGAATTTTTTTTTTATATAGTAGAATATGTTTTATTCATTTACTGATTTTTGAATCTTTAGAGATTACATTTCAAAAACATTTCTTAAGAATGAGGGTAAGAAACTTTGTAAGTACAAGAGGACATTTTGAAATATAGATACTCAGAGAAATGAATTTTTAAGTAGTACTGATGAAATGTGGTCATAATAAACTAAATAGAAGTTTTCCATTAATGTAACAGGGCAAAGAGTTTGCCTGAAATGTTACAGCAAGAAGTAACATCAGTAAAATGAAGGATTTTATTTTTCTTTTTACTTTGATCTTTTGACATCACCCCTGTTAGCATTAAAGTCATCTACATCCATAGTCTTCAAATTTTTAAAGCACTTTTTTAACTTTAGAGTTTAAATTCTTTAACTTAAGTTTAAAGGTATACATTAGCCTGTTTGTAAAATGTCAGAATTGTGTTTGACTTCAGTAATGTTCCAATACACCTTCAAACATACACTGCAAATTTATGTTATATATACATCATATTTTATAATATTTCTACATTGTCTTGGTACACTGTATTTTTGTATTAGTGGGAATAGTTCGCTAATGATGTAACTATTTTTGAAAAGGGTTAAATATATCATTGCTAGCATTTAGTTTCTTAATTCTTTGTAGATGCCTGTGAAAGAAAAAGAAGCCTCTGAGAAAGAAGTCATTCTGCTGGCCAAGATGAAGCATGCAAATATTGTAACCTTCTATGCTTCTTTGCAAGGTTTACTTTTAAAATTTCTGTTTTAATTGTGGTGAAAGGAGTGGTAGGCAGAAAACCTACCTTGCTAGAGTTGACCACCCTTAGCCTTGTCCCTCATGCCTTACTTAAATGTGGGTAAAGGTCTCAACTCCTAGAAATGGACATGAGGCATCAAATTCAGGCATCATTTGTGTTTTTCACATGTGTGGGTGGGTACTTGGCGTGGACCCTAGGTCCTGAGGTGTCTGTGCTGTACAGGTTGTACTTTAGTCTTGACTTTTTATGGGAGTCCAGAGTTTAATGGGAATTTTCTAGGAGTTTCAACAGAAGAGAGCTTTTGAGTGTAGAAAGGAATAGGCTGATAAAATGGGACAAAAGATTGATGAAATAGGCAAGAAATAGAATGATCATTTCATCTGATCTAACCTCGGGTTCCTCTTTTTTTTTAATCCATATCATGTTCATATGATGTTATATGGTTATGATACATGCATCACATATG